TATTAGTATAGATCACCAGGAATTAAATAATAATTAATAATAATAATAATTTATTTATTTCTCACCATAATCATTACAAATGTAGTGGTTAATTTTTAATTTCTCAATTCAATATAAATATCAAATTACTTAATCCTTTCATACTGCATATAACACATACACACTTGATGATATCATTTAATCCATCCTTGATCAACTTATTAACAAATAATAACAACTATTTTATGATGAGTGTTTGTACATTGCCAATAATTTTACGATAAGATTTGCGACGAATATTTGGCTAAGTATACGATATTCTTTTCTGCCTTCTATTCGGCCGAACAGAATATATTTAAATAAAATCTTGTATTGTGTTCATATAAGTGAAAGAATTATTATAACTTTATTCGTTTTTTGAAAAAGAAAACGGAAAAGAGCGAATGTTTTTCGCGTACAAAAGCTTCTACATAAATAATAAATACTTATTTCAAAATCTTACACGTCAATGTATAAGATTTTCCCGTATAGGTAGATATATCGTACATTATTTGTATATTTATATGTAACTATCGTGAGTATTTTTTTTTTTCTAAATTAAAATTATTATTTCGTTATTATACTTTAGTAGCAACTTTTGAATTTAAAATGTTAAATTCAAAAGTTGCTACTATTAGACCATTCAATTATTGCAACCTTAACCTATTTACGTTATACATCCAGTTTTGACTCACTGACTTACATAAATGTACCAAACAATTTCATGGGCCCAGTCCAGTAGTTTCGGAGAAAATAGACAGACAGACGGACAACACAAGTGGTCCTATGAGGGCTCCGTTCTACTTTTTTGGTGCAGAACTATCCCTAAAATCAAAAAACTTTCAAATAGCCAAACTAATTATGAGCAACAACATTAGTAGATTCTTTCTACTAGATGTCTTAGTTATAGCTATGTTAATTAGATAACCAGGGCCGGCCCGTTAATAAAGACTAAGATTTTCCCGTATAGGTAGATATAATACATTATTTATATATTTATATGTAACTATCGTGAGTATTTTTTTTTTCTAAATTAAAATTATTATTTCGTTATTATACTTTAGTAGCAACTTTTGAATTTAAAATGTTAAATTCAAAAGTTGCTACTATTAGACCATTCAATGATTGCAACCTTAACCTATTTACGTTATACATCCAGTTTTGACTCACTGACTTACATAAATGTACCAAACAATTTCATGGGTCCAGTTCATTAGTTTCGGAGAAAATATACAGACAGGCGGACAACACAAGTGATCCTATGAGGGCTCCGTTCTACTTTTTTTGGTGCGGAATTATCCCTAAAATCAAAAAACTTTCAAATAGCCAAACTAATTATGAGCAACAACATTAGTAGATTCTTTCTACTAGATGTCTTAGTTATAGCTATGTTAATTAGATAACCAGGGCCGGCCCGTTAATATTGACAAACTAAGTAACTGCCTGGGGCACTCAGATTTGGGGGGTGGCATGGCATGGTAATCAGATTATTAAGTTTGCTTTTGTACTTTGAATATGAATCGTTCCCGCGGTATTGAAAAGTACATAGTTTCCAAAACATTAGTACCTATGGAGTTTCTTTAATTATTGACAAAATTACAATCTTTTAATCGGCGTACTTACCTACATTAGTTTTTTATTATGTTGTGACTTTTATGGGCGTCCATCCAGTGTTTTTGCCTAGGGTGCCAAGTTTCATTGAGCCGGCGCTGTAGCTATCGGTGTTTGGTTTGGTAATGACATGAATTTGGTTCATTGAGATGTGTACTTGGAGTAGATTTGTTCTACTCCAAGTATGCATCTCAATTCAATTTTTTACGTAGCTTATACAAATATTGATAAAATGTATGCCATATACATATTCATATATATACAAATAACTATTTGAATCTTAACTAGCCTTTGATAGCTTATGAAAAAGGGATAAAAAATATTTCGTCAGTTCATATCTTAGCAATATTTTGGTGTGATGTCATGAGCTACTCGCCCTATGGGGGACGGCCATGTTAAGCGCTGGGATTCTAAGGTAGATTGCCCGTAGGTCTTAGTTTTTGATTTTATTGCCTTAAATATAGCAAGAAAGTTAATTGAGTGAATTCTAAAACCTTGATTACGAAAAGAAAATTATGCCTACAAGTTTTGTGAGAAAATTTGGTGCCTCAAAAATCGAACAAACTACAAAAATCGCCCATTACTGATTCTTGATAGGTTAGCAACTTTATGGAAATTGAATGATTTATTGATGGATGGATTGTAACAAAATAACCTTTTATTTAATTTTAGGAATATTAATTCCTTTAGGTATTCTTTGTTGTTATTTTTAACATAGAGTTTAATGCATACTAAAAAATAGTGATGTAATGCATCATATCAATGTCAATCACAGAACATAGAGAGAGATGTCAATACATTTCAACACAGTTTGATTTAAAAATATTTTATTTGGAAAGCATTAAAAGAAAAGAGATAAATGCTAGCCGCAAACAAAACTAAGCGTTGCCTAACTAACAATTACTTAATTTCTATTAATCACTCATTATTTAAAATTATATAAATATTTAGTGTAATATTGTTAATAAAACTTGTATATTTTTACCTAATTTGCTAGTGCAATAATTATTTGTGAAGGGTAATTTTTGTGTATTTAATTCAACAGATATCCTGTAAACAAAGTACATAAAAGAACAAATAGATTGAAGCCAATGGACAAGAAAAAATCATTCCTCGCTATAAAATATGGCATGTCTGATCAATTTTAAGCACTTCGCAGATACAGCATTTAATAAAACTTTGAATGTTACAAGACTACATCATTGCGCAGTATCCTTATCTTAAATTCTAAGAAATTTTACAACACAGAAAGCATTTGATATTTACAGTCGAATATGGAACATTATATCTATCATACACTAGACTATATAACTTTAATATACCGATATCATGCAAAACAAGTAACAAACAAAGTATTATATAGAATAAATATAAACAAATTAGTATGTAATCTGATGTGAATAAACGAATAGTTTTTAAACTTGTTTTTTACCTAAGTACCGTCATGGCGGAAGGCATCCTGATAGTAGATTTTTCTTTGGAATGCAACACTAAATGAGCGAGAATGGGAATGCAATATAAGAAACATAATAAATTATAGGCATTTCTGCATGTAGTTGAAAAAAAATGTTGACCTTTCGCTCTTCTTCGTTTCATTATTGAATACCAATGAAACCTACTTCCAAGTTACCTCTAAAAGTAAATTTATTTAAGAACGTTTTAAGTCCATTTTGCAGACAGTTTACATGATATAACACATGAGTTAAATACTTGAAATCTAACTCATGTGTTATATCATGTAAAGTAATAGTACTTACAACGCCATGGTATAGACCAGGGGTCGGCAACCTTTTGAGTCAAAAGAGCCAAAAGTTACAATTTACAACATTTTTAAGTTTTTAAAGAGCCACAAAAAATGTTTTTATGCCTACAATAAATAAGTAATGTAGTCCTACTCTCACTGACATCGACTTACTGCGCAGGACTTTGCTTATTGTAACCAACTAGATTTAGCATTCTTAGAGTTCACTCTCTCTCTTCCTTCCACTCTCTATATCCGATGGGACGGTTGACCGACACGACCGGTGAGAGATCAGGCGCAAGACCGACGGCTTAACGTGCCCCCGATGCACGGAATCAACTACTTTCGGTCAATCATGGTGATTCAATCACAATAAATAGAACTTGCATAAATAAAGTAATTTTAATGTTTATTTATAAGACAAAATAATATTTATTTATTCTTATATGAGTAGTTTTTTTCATAAAAAATTAAACATATTTATGGTATTAATAATTATTTATAATTCAAGTAAAAAAATAAAACAAACATTTAGTTACAACACTAATTTGTACTTCAATAGCCTCGTCCAGACTGAGCGGGTGAAAAGCGGGTACAAGCAAAGACTATGTGGCTGAGAGATAGAAGTGGTGCTGAATCTTTGTTAATCGATTCAGAAAGTTTTAAAATGATTTTTTTTTATAAAATAAATAATATTTGTGTTCGGATCTAAAGAGCCGCAGCTTGTCAGCCAAAGAGCCGCATGTGGCTCGCGAGCCGCAGGTTGTCGACCCCTGGTATAGACCATAGATAAACGCATTGTATGTTAGGACATTGAATAAATACATTTTAACTACCATTTACAACTTTTTACCTATTTAGCGGAAAAGGTAAAGTTATAAATGGCTAAATTATAATAGAAATCAATAAGTATTCCATATAGGACGGAAATATTTTATTTGTTAATTTTGCATTTGAAATTACAAACGCAATTTTCGATTGAAATAACATAATAACATACCAGGCAGATAGATGTTATTTTTGATTAGTTAAGGGTTTCAGGGTTTCGACTCCAAAACTATTCGAAACAAAAGAAACTAAAAAACCAAAACTAGATACTTAACTGTGATGTCTGTAAATTATGCCATTATTATGCCCTGAGCCATTATTACGTTAATATAAGTACGTTGGGTTTGATTTCGATATCAGTACAGTTTATGAAAGGATAACCCTAGCACAAGCCGCCATTTATTGTTCTGATTAAAGAGTATATGGCACGCAAAAATTATAGATATACCGTGTCCAAGTACTTTGTACATTTCCTGCATATTTGTGACATAGCGAGCAACCAACTCTCAACTTTAATGCCCATTGTCTAAACCATTTCTTGCTAAATTGAAGAAAAAAGAACCATATATTTTTCTGTCATCTGATTAACGGACTAAATAGATTTTTTTAACCCAGGCATCATCCCCATAGTCTCAATCGTTGCTTGTTTCATGTGATATATCGCAAAAACAATGATGTCACAGGATTTATCTTCGAAATCACCACGATCACTCTGTCAAGAGTGCACCACTGAGAAGAATAATGGACTTATGTAAGCGGTGTCTGTATCAAATAAACATGTCGATTGTATTATTGTTTGCAGGTGAAGCCACTATGGGTGCGTTGTTCCGTAGCGAGGAGATGGCCCTGTGCCAGCTGTTCGTGCAGCCAGAGGCGGCATACGTATCCATGTACCAGCTGGGAGAGGCCGGGATAGCGCAGTTCAGAGATGTAAGTTTATGTTAATATAGGGTAGGTGACAAGGTTTTGACCATTTTATAAGCTTCGAGGAAGTGAACATAATTCAATGTCTTAAAGACTTAACACGGTACAGTGATATAGCTAGAACGCCTTAAAGTTCCAAATGGTCAAACGAAATCAGTAACTAATACTGAGTTTTCAAGGAAGTCGATTTAAGGTACTTGATTTAAAAACAAATAATAAAAGTTGTGAAGGTAATAAGACTACCTAAAGAGTTTTACTTTTGATTAGAATATTTATCTTAGAAACATTTGATCTCATAACATATAACTAGAATGACTACAAAAATAACAGTCTCCGTCTCACTAGAGAATGATAAAGGGGCTAAATATAGAAATACGGATAGTATTATTTGGTGCATCAGACATGCAGCAAAAAGACAAACAATATTTTGTGCTTAATGAACCTAAGCTATTTTAATCTTTGAATTATGAACCTTTTATTCTAATAAAATGAACTAGATGTGCTTCACCTACCTTACCTAGCTACGTAACCTACCTTTAAATTTAATTGAAATTACACTTTTGAATAATCTAAATGAAGTCATTTTTGAATTAATGATACAATAGACTGACTTAATACTAATAACATTCTCTACCAATCAACCTTTGAGAAACCAGAAAAACATGAGGGCGGGAAACATAAAACTAAGCTTAACTGCAAGCAAGTTGATAAATATTATATAGTGCATTTATTTGCATAATGCATAATGCCATAATGCATTTATTTTGTGTCCCTCTTCAGCTAGGGTACATATTTTTTATCTTGCTTTCACACAACCAATCATTCTGAATAACACTAATTATCTGTTTGCTCTTTTCATCTTACGCGCTTAACTTTCTTTCTCGCTTTCACACAAAATTACGTCCAGAATTGCTTACATTATTGACTTACATATAAACATACATAAAAATAATATTGTATATAATGTATGATGACTATATTTATAATCGCTGCATGAGAAAATTATGAGCTTCGTTTTAAATATAAATTCGTTAAGAGATTGATTAATTGGTTTTAATTACTTATACAATTTTCATTTCTATATTGATAAACTTAAAATTAGAGAAACCCCTAAAAATTATGTCTAGTTCTATATCTGCATGTCTATCTACGAGTTTGTATATAGAATAAATTATTTCTAAAGGTGTTGTTTCAATTATTGTAATATAATTGGCTTTCAAGCACTATTAAAAGTAAAGACTACAGATGCAACGGAAGCTTTATATTAAAAATAGAAACAGAACCATAAGTCAAAATAAAATTTAAGCAGATACGGACACGGAAACGGATGCGAAAACGGAAGTGTAAATACTATGAAAAATGTTAGAATTATAATATTATGTGTATTATTCTTTATGCAATCATAATCATCGCAATATTATGATAAGCATTATATTTTACTCATAATGAATATACCGAGTATCAGTTTTCTTTTCCCATTATTGGGAACTACTGAGCTAGCTTTTAATCCTAAAGTCATGTGAGAAGTTGAGAAATGCTGTATTACTGTTTCGCTTTTTTCAACGTGGAACATTGTGATAAAGAATCTATTTATCAATTACGAACACTAAAAAATAACATAATATGGACTCGTTGTCGGTAACAACAATAGTGCTCAGAAGCGCGTCCAATTACTTTTAATTAGAGTATATTAGCGAGCATTCATAAACGAGTGGAAGAGGTCAAACCATCAGCACAAGTAACGAACTCTTTATATACTATAGTTATTTTTAAACTTAAGTTACATAAGTGAATTTAGGTCATATAATGTCTATTGTACATCGATTCCCTTTACATTGGCTTTATTTAATTAGTGTTAATCATATCGAAGTCAATGTAGTTACGCTTCTGCTGTGGGTCTTTCACGTATCGACCCTAACATTGTTATCCAGCTTTCATTACCTTTCAATTTTCAAACACAGGCTAGCGCTTAGTTATTATTAAAATATCTTTAAGATTTGAAGATAAGTTTATAATACCGAATATTATATCAGTAATAATCCTATAATAAATAAAAAGAAAATATGCTGTGACTGTATGGACACAAGTCCTTGTCCTACCCAAAAAAAATGACACGTAATGAAAGTCAAATTCTTATATAAATGTAGTTACGCGTTAGATCCGCCGTGATGCCGCCACCTCACCCTTTTTATCATTGGAGAATACTTTATGCCTTTATCCACTGCCGCTTGACAGGCACCACCTTACTCCTGGTTAAAGCCGCAGATAGCAATAGCTATGGTAAAACTTAAGTCGGTATAATTCTTATTTTACTTGAGATCAGCATGTAACGTATTCGTATATATAATCTGCATTCTTGCCACTTACATTTAACCACATTACCTTTATTACCAATAAATGCTGGTTGAGAGTTAAATTTAACAAACCATAGCACTTATAACTTTTCCTGTAATCTGTAAGCAAAGAACTATATGCAGGTTTTTACTCGACTGTCCAAAGAAAAAGTGTATTGTGTTTACAGTTAATGTATTTATGTATATATGTGAGTTTATTTATTCCACCATAACTTATGAAAGACTTATCGGATATTAAAATTTAGTGTCATTAGAAACCTTATATTATCCCGAGTAACACCGGCAATATGTTTCTTAAACATTCCAAATGGCGGACGTATGAAAAAATACCAAATTAAAGGACTACTTTGTATACATTTACTGGCCACTAAATGAATAAAATAAAATAAAAATAATTTCAAAATTAATAAACACGACTGCCAAAATAGAACTAAAAGTAATTAAAACATAAAACAAGGTATATAATGGCTTTGCTAAAACTTCTCATTGCAGTCGGGAGACCGTTCTGTGGAGCATTTGTATTTTTTTTTTTATTAATTATATAATTCTTTTTTAGTAATCTAAGAGGTCGCCAAATGAAAAAGTATTTAAAAATAAAAAGAAAGCACCAAAAAGCACCTCCACTAGATGGCGACTCTAGCAAAAGTTCATTTTTGCAGGAAACGAATAGACCAAAGATAGTCATTTCCATTCCATCTATGCATTTATTTATGTATGTATATGTATGTTTATTACTGTATGTATTTTATGTATATTTAGATATAGTTCTTATGCAGAGATATCAATAGCTAGTACTAGTACTAAATTTACTGGTTGACTGGTAGAGAATGCCTCTTTGGCATTAAGTCCGCCATTTGTCTATTTCACTAAGCAATTAAGATTAAATAAATAAATTCCTTTTAACTAGTATATATAAAATACTGACATTTGCAAAGTTCGAAACTTAGATATCAATACAAATACGAAAAAGTTCAAATAGAATATGAGTTGTTTATTGAGTTTTGAAAACTAATTTACGTACTTTTATACATGAAAGAAAACCGGAAAAGTTGTCATGGAGAAATTAAGAAAGTACTTTAGCGACATCGAGTTTAATTTCGGGAACTAATGATTTTTTAAATACTTCCTCATTGCTATGAGAAGTTTGTTTAGCCAAACTATAAAGTACCTTAATTCTTCTATTTTTAGTTCGATTTTGGCAATCAGCAGAGAAAAAAATAACCACAATAACGTGACGGATAGATACGATAAATATGACCATAACATCACTGAAAACATAACCGAACCAGAAATTCCAGAAAATTAGTAGCTGAAGTAGCTGAAAAATAATAACCACAGAACACAGAAAGACTTTCTGTGATAATAACAATTCATCGGTTTAATGAATGCCTATTGGCCGGTGAATAGATTCCCATTATAATAACAGTTTAAATGCCACTGTATATTAACATTTTATATTTTACTACACGATCATAAAGTGCCATAAAGAAGATGAATGAAAGAAAATAACATGTAGCGGAGATACCAATGTTCAGATGGATGTGTAGGGTGACGAATGTAAGAGAAAGTTTAAAAGAAGTTACCAGTGATAGAAAAATTTGAAAGGAAAACTTTTGACATGGTATATTATAAGACTAAATATGTCGATAGATGAGGAGCAAGATGACGACCTCAGAAAAGGTGAACTGTAAAAGTGAAAGTAGTGAGTGATGAGACGATGATGGCTGATAGAGAAGAGCGTAAGAAGAAGATACACAGCGATAATTATGATGATTCTACTACAAGACTACGTCCTAGTTTCGCTCTGACTCTATTTAGTGTGGTAATCTCCCTGGAGTTCGATGGGGAATGGGTAGCACCTTTACTATGCTATAAAATATTATTACGATGAATAATTATGAATATATTTTTCAGTATAGCATAGTGAATGCAAAATTGATTAAATATAAAAATAATATTATTTATTTATGTTGCAATTATATGATATTTTTTGTTATTTTTAATTTTATACTTTGTACTAGCTGTTTAGCTTTCTGTTAGTGAAGGATTTTGAAAATAGGTCCTCTAGTTTCGAAGTCTATTCGATACTAATAAACAAACGATCGAATATTTCCTCTTTTGATATACTAATATAATAATATATAGATTACACATACACATCCAATGTAAAAACGATATTTTATTGTACATCTATCAATCATCATCAACGATAGTGTTCTTCTAATATACCGTATCTTTTAAATTTATGATTGCATTGAATGAGAAGCTTGATTTTTTTATACACAAGAAAATCAAGCTTTTATATTTTCTTTTCAAATATAAAATCATAAAAAACACAGATACAAAAACCTAAGTTCCCTTTAAAAAGTTAATTTAATTGTTTGGTTTGGTGTGGTCCCCCAACGCGACGTATTATTTTAGAATTATTAATACATATTTATGTTCTTTATGAATAAGTTACTTTTATTATTTAAAGGGAACTTCTGTTTAAGTTGGAGTTTTTTAAATGTTGTTTTATTTAGTTTTCTATTTTTATAGGATACTTAATATAATGTAGACTCTTGTCGAAAATTTTTTAATTTATATTTAAGGTAAAGAATACATTTATGGTCAAGCTTGTTCGCCTTTTCACCCGACTGCGCGAAGCAAAGG